TGACATTGCAGTAACAGTGTTGCGGAAAACTATAAAGGCTTCAAAATATCTCCATTTTATGAAAAAAGCACAAAAAAGCACCGTTCAATTTTACGTGAGACATAAAGGCAAGTTAAATGTCTATAATTTGATGTTTTCAAGTTTATCTCAACGAGGAGAAAACACTATTTTAAATACGTCCGCGCTTTGACAGAAAAGAAAAAAATGTCGTCAAAATCGAGTTCAAAATGCATGTCTTTTCCTCAACAATCGCTTTGTTCATTTTGCATGTGAAATAAATATCAATTTTAACTATACAAGCTGATACTAGATCCTTCACTTAACGTTTATAGTGTGTATTGAAGCAGGAAGTGATTTCGTTCAAATGATAAATGAAAATTTGTGTTGTTTAAATATCGTCTTATGTGCATGAATATAGTACTCGCGAATCTATATTGTCGTGTGGTCCGTATACGGAAAACTATAAAGGCTGCAAGATATCTCCGTTTTATGAAAAAAGCACAAAAAAGCACCGTTCAATTTTACTTGAGACATAAAGCCAAGTTAAATGTCTATAGTTTGGTGTGTTCAAATTTATCTCAACCTATCTCAACGAGGAGAAAACACTATTTTAAACACGTCCGCGCTTTGAATTTTGCGAATATTTTCATCGCTCGAGTAAAATTTTTGCCCTGATATTTTCATTCACCGAGTGTTCAGTAACAAACAACACAAGCTATTACACGTGATATAACTTATTAAATAATATTTCAAATTTTAATGAACGAAACATAATTACTTAGCATTTAAATCCTTTGTTTTATCGTTTGCTTGTTTACATTTTTTTGTTGCCATCTTGTACGCGATTTTCTGATTTTTTTAGAGAAAGCGCGCTCGCGCCAATCCTAATGAGCATCACACGTAGCACGGTCATTTATTAGCGCGTTTCCCCGCCCGTGTTTTATAGCGCCCTGGTTGTTTAATACATTTCTGCACCCCTTTAAAAGTAGAGGTTTATTTGAGGGATGGGGACGTCTTGGAGACGGTCGTTACATAAGTTGATTAAATATAAATTTATTTTAACTTGGAGGCGGTCATTACATAAGTTGATTAAATATAAATTTATTTTAAAATTATCACAGCAATTCTTTACCTTATAGTTTGACTTAAGGCACACGTCACCAGGGATATTTGGAATATCCACACAGTATGTCAAATCCATGAAATTGCTCATGATTGTGGTGCAGTTATTAACGATCGCCGTTTGAACGGAGAGAGGACATGATTTCATCACTCTAGCGCATGCCTGTCTCGTACGTGTGACGTTGAATGTCATGGCCACACCAAATGGTTGGTTGTCATCCTTTACGCACTGCGCAAACGTATTTGAACATGCATACTCACGAACGGCATCTTTACACGTCTGCGTTACTTTTTTAAAGAACTTGAGAGACGTCATCATAAGATCGACTGATTTCAGGCTGGCGTTCGCAAAGGTGTCTTCATAACCAAACCCAAACACTTTATAGTTGACCAGATTGGATGGACATTGTGTGTTGCTCGGTAAATCGTAGCAACCTTTAGTTGTCATAGATCCGTTTATCCACAGATAACCCTTGTCTGGGTTTGCGCTGCTAACGATGTACAATAATGCTGAAAACGCAACAAGTTTCGTGAAGGCCATTTTCGCGCTTGATGTTGTGACCGTCAACCGGAGCTAGCTAGCTAGAGTGCTCACGCGTTATATAAGTAACAAGCTATGATTCAGCGCATATTAATCAATGTCCGTGCATGGTAGTATGGTACAATCGTGTACAAAGTTCAGTTTGAACGAAAAAATATTTTGTCTGGCAGGTCCGATTATGGCCTCAAAATGAGGCTCAATGTTTATGCTAAAGGACTGTCACTTGGCAGTTGCGTGCATACACAATGCTGCTCTTGTTCCTTAACTGGTTGCGACACAGATCTACGAAAATGTTAAGACACATAGGATTTCAAGACACATTCAAACTGCGCTTTGGCCTTCCCATATGACATATGTAAAGGCATGTTCGCCCTTTTCAGGCAAACAAATGAAAAGAGCAGTTATAGCATTGTTTACCAATGATATAACTTTTCACTGAATGTGGACATGGAAACTAAATTACTGTGATTGGTTAGTTTTTTTTTATTCTACATAGGGTTGAAAGTTCCCATTAAAAAAATTAAATGACTTTTCATGGACTACAAGGGACCGTTCATTATTTAGGAGGGGTGGGCCGGTAATGAAGCATTGGCGATTTATACTTATAGTATTTTCTTCACTCACCCAAGAACAGTACGTGGTTCAATTTTTGCCCCAACCCCTGTCAATTCGACAAAAATTCATGGCTCACGTCAAGATCTGTATATTTTACTTCATTATCTTTACGTCATTGTTTATGAGAGGAGGTGGGCCGGTTGAATAGGGCGGTGGGCCAGAGTTTTAAATATCGTTTCTTGAGGCCAGTGTAATTATAAATAAGGAAAGAGCCCACCTGAAATTTAAATAAAGTAAAAAGTACAAATGAACTTCATGTCTTTTTAAAACTTTACATCAAATTATATTGTACAAAGTAGCGTTAGCGACGTCGACCCTTATCATGCTGACGTCAGTAAGATATTAAAAACTGTATAAGTCCGAGAAGATTTGTATCAACCTAATTTTTTTAAATAAGACTCTGTGTACTGTAATGATCTACAAAACATATAAAATAATCGGCTTTTCAGTTTTCATACTTAATATAATATCACAAATTTTGTGAGGTGACACAAAATGGATTGAGTGCTGGAAAATTTAATACATTAAGAGCAACTAAGAATATGACAATTGGTGATTGGTCTACTAGTCTGGAAATAATGATTAATAACTTAATTACAGATAATGATTAATCGCTTCATCGTAACAGATTTTCCAAACAATGTATTCTAATAATATGACAATTCAAAACAAAAACTCTTGTTGTTCCAATTTCACGAAAACATTTTATTGCGTTTATATCTTAAAAATCATTATACACGTTAATGCATGGCCATATGTAGGCGTATTGATTTGGCATCTGTTGGCGATGTTTTGCCTCTGATACCAGAGGGGTCTGTCTCGGGATTGTGTCCTGTTTTAAACCGGACACAATCTCGAGATAGGCCCCTGTAGCAGAGACAAAACATCGCCAACAGATGCCAATGTCGGTTTCCTTTGACCTAACCATTGCGGGTTTTTTTTCTATTTTGCCAGCTGAAAAACTGCAACTTTTGTCACGTGAGTATTGTAATGCAGATAATTGTAGCCAAAACAATGTTGATTGTTTTGCAAAAATACCATGTGACAATACAGGGGCAAATTTGTGAAATCAAACCAAAGATAATGAGCTATATTTTGCAAATTTGCAACACTTTGGGTTTCCAAACCATGTACAGTATTGGTGGTGTAAAAAGGGATTCAAAAGACAAAATAATGATTTATAAAATTTTTATTAACGATTAATCTAAACAAATACATATCATGTATTTTGTGAAAATATTATGTACAATTATCCTATTGCGCTAACTACATATCAAATATATTGACTACATATTAAAACACTGTACAAGTTATCTGATACCCTGCCTAATAATAGACTTTGATCCTCTTTCAGCGATACCTTTTGATTTCTTCTTCGATGCAGGATCAGTCGCAAAGCATTTCCACAAGCGCAAAGTTTCATCTGCAGATGCAGAAATGACAGTTTGACCATCAGGGCTGAGAACCATATGTAAAACACGACACGAATGACCAGTTAACTCTGTGACTTTTGACATGCTGGGATATTTCCAGATTGTCAGTTGATTTTGAGCGTACCCATGACTAGAGACGAGTTCTTTGTAATTGTTGGACCAAAGAATTGAACAAACCTACGAACGGGAGGAATGAATAGTCGTTTTTTTTGTATAAACATATTTTAATATCAAAAAGATATTACAATTGCCCAAGAGCTCAATAAAAGACTCATCTAGGGGCTCTTGATCAATTTAGCTGTATATTATGAGTATACAGCTAAATAGTCAGTTATTATGAGTATTACATAATTATATGCTCTATAAATAAATAGCTCTGTAAAGTCATGGTAAAATCTTTAATTATTTGAACAATTATTGATTGGATCGAACAACAACCAATTATTGATTGGATCGAACTTCCGTATATATATGCAACTATAGTTATATAGTTGCATATATATGGGTTCTCATTGATGTTATAACTTGCCCAATCTGCTGTATGTGGTCGAAATTGCTATTCCGAGAATATTTTAAAATTGATAAAACGCTAATCTGACCAAGCGGCATTTAACATGAATTGACAGTCCATGCATACAGCCATACAACAATTTCAACCACAGCAGATTGGGCAAGTTATAACTTCAGTGACACACCATATTTCTTGTTTTACAACTTAATCCATAAACCAGCCAATGAGTGGTGGATATTGACTAAAAGTTTTCAAAAATATCAATAGCCCCTGGGTATATGCCTGATAGGCACAAGAAACTTTGAAAATATTATGATAAAGATAAAAGCACGAGAAATATTATGATAAAAATATAAATATGACTGGGTAATCACGAAATATAATGCATGGGAAGAATCATTCGGCCTAGGACAAGCAAATCTTAAAATTCAAAGGGAGATTTGAAGTGATTTCATTTCAAAGAAAACATACGAGCAAATAGTTTTAAAACACTAGGTAAATTTTATGAACATTTCGAAACGTTGTAGAAAACGTCAAAAGGTTAAATTTTACATTAAATTGAAGCGTATAGTTTTATTAGCTAAAACTATTAAATCTTCTTATTGTTTTTCCCACTTTGTACAAAAATTTATATAATAATCATGTTACCACGGCTACTACTGAAACAATATTTAGGAACTACAGTAGAGTTGTCTAGATAGAAAGGCCGAGGGGTTGCTGCCGCTTATACTGAACTCAATAACAGTACCTGTGACTTTGTATCGATAGCATTAAGACATGTTCCTGTAGCAGCATTCCAAAACCTAATATGTCGGTCAGCTGTTCCACCACCACTGGCAATTACATTTCTTTGAAACGGACACCAAGCTAAAGCCTTTTAATCACAAAAAGTGTTGGAATGAAATTTAGCTAATCTATTCAGGGATTTATGCATGCAAACATTTTAATTCTACTACTGCAGGTATATATATACGGTAGTAACTCAATCTTTCTCCGTATTAATTATATTCGCCACTATATACTTTGACGAAATTGTGGGAAATGTGAATTGAATGGGTTTGGGTGTGTTTGGTGGATGTGTGTGTATGGGGTATTCCCCTACGGCTAAAACTCACTAAAACTCAATCGTCTTCGAAAAAAACGGTTGTAGACTAAAATGCTTGTAAAAATCCTTGCTAATCTAACACAGCCACAACGAAAAACAGTCTTAATTAAAAACAGTTTAAGTGCCAAAAAGGCCAAAAACCACATGGCTTAGTTTACTGAAATACACTTTATACAGTACAAGTGAACACAATGGGATTTTTTTAAATGTTCACGTACCAGTGTGAAAAGGCAATTGAACAAACAGGTTTTCTTGGATGGAATTATTGAAAAGATCTTTTTTCGCTTTATTTAAAAAAAATTTCAGTAAGTCAGACTTTTTCAGAATTTTTTAAATTGAGTGATTGATTAATTTTAAAAACGTATATATTGCGATGAGCTTTTTGGACGTATTTGTAAATTGGCTTATGAATTTGATCTTGACGTGTAAAGTGAAGTAATGAAGTTAAGAATAATCTATTGCCGAAAAACATCAGAAAAGCATGCATATTTTAAAATCAGTATTAGAAAGAAACAGTGTGAAGGATATACTAGTGAATATAAAAGATGGATTTAGTCTTAGCTCTACTTTAACCTATGAATGTTATCCTACCTTAACAGCAGCCTGGTGGTCAGTCAAGGTGAATAAAGGTGAGTTCATATCACCACTTGAGCTGACATTTGTATCCCAGATTAAGAGAAGATTATCGTTTCCACCGCTGGCCAAATATTTACCATCACGTGACCATTTCAAACCACAGACTTCTTGCGTGTGACATGCTAATGTTCCCACGTGATGATTTGCAACTCTGACGTCATGATGGTGGATTGCCCCACTACGACTTCCACTAAAATTAAGGAAATTCTGATGTAATTTCACTTTAAACATTACTTGAATAAAAATAGGATGTACTGATTGGCGATTAAAAAAGTATAGTTACGTTAGTTCAATATGCCTTTAATATATGAATATACTGTCTAGTGATAAAAAGAATACAGAAAGCACTGTAGAAATACTAACAGTTTTAACACGTTGTAGACATGGCCGGATTTTGAGAGGAGGTGTTGGGATCGTTTTGTCCCTCCCCTAACTTTTTTCATTTCCGCTGAAAATTTATGCACCTCCCCAATACTCAATAGTCAAAATTTCACACTATTAACGATAACGTTTTGTTATTAAATTTTTGTGTTGCCTTCAGGCTTTTAGCCAGGGGCCGGTTGTTCAAAGGTGGGTTAATGCTAACCCTGGGTTAAAATTTAACCTACTGTTTTAATTTGTGTACTTCTACACATCTGTGTATTTCAAAATTTCAAAGAAGTAAACTCCTATCAATCCAGACAAGATCTCTGAAGAAATATTTTCAAATTGATAGAAAAGCTGTTAGGAAATTTGCTTTGAATTTTAGGTTAACCAAGGGTTAAACTAACCCAGCTTTGAACAACCGGCCCCAGGGTTCTAAAAGAAGGCGTCCAATTTTGGTACAACGATACATCCACAGTAAAGAGGGGGGGGGTTCTATAAAACGTTCCTCTGGAAAACCTTTGAAGTTAACGTTACTTCATGTCTAAGCTCGTTCGAACTTGGCTTTGTGAGTTTGTGCCGCTATGCTTTTTTACTTAACCGTACGACATTTTCATTCAGCCAGGTACACCATCAAATTGATCAAAATGTCAAATGTATAATATTAAATAATGAGAATTAAAGTTATTTCGTTTCAGATATATTATTATTATTATATAGTAGAGAGTGAGATACTGAAAAATACGCAGTGACATGTTTTCCATATCTTCACTAGTGAGTAGTGAGCATATCGATCACGTGACTTTTAGTATTTATACAATTTTTTGCTTCGGACTATATATAATAAACAGAACATTACACGTTGGCTTGAAGATATGATTTTAACTTCTCGTGTTATTTCATTAAAAATTCATAAACCTTGTGGCAAATCAAGTCAGCCATAATATGTCACGTGGAGTGACTTTATATCTGATAAAACTCATCTTCATTAGTATTCTTTATATAATTCTTCATCCTAATTAGTATGATTATATAATTGTTCATCCTAATTAGTATTCTTTTGTAGTCGTATTTTAAGCTATTCAAAACACACGAACTCGTGTTTTATCATATCTAAAACGTTCGGCTGCGCCTCGCGTTTTAAATATGATAAAACACTCCTTCTCGTGTTTTAAATAGTAGTTTCACCACTCGAAGATAAAAAGTCATATCTTCGCGCCGCCGTGTAATATCCTCTATATATTCTTAGGGAAATAATTGAAAATAATTTCCCTTTCCCCCCAGAATTTGGGGGTCCAAAGGCGTCCATTTTTTGTTCTAGGGGCGTCCCAGGACGCCCTTCTGGCTAAAAGTCTGGTTGCCTTAAAGATGTACACTTTTATAAAATTAAAAAAGCACTAATGAATGAAATGTTGTAGTATTGCAACGAGGAGCGATAAGCGAAGATACGTCATAGTTCATAAATACATTGATTTGATACGTATGTACAGTACATGATTTCAGGCCGGGGGAGGGGCGTCTTAGTCCAAGGAGCTGGGGCCTAGACACCTCCCACCTCCCTTAAACGTTTTCCACCTTCCTTCCAAATCTGGCCTTAAGCCGTGTTTACACTACGAGCCTAAGCCTGGCCTTGGCGTACCTTTGGACTAGATTTTTGTAGTGTAAACGCACTTCGACCTGGGCTAGGCCAGGAAATCTGGGTCCATCAGAACAGGTGGCCCAGGCCAAAGTGCGTTTACCCTATAAAAATCTAGTCCAAAGGTAGGCCAAGGCCAGGCTTAGGCTCGTAGTGTAAACACGGCTTTAGATATAGATAAAATTGTAAACATAGCATCATATATAACATTCACATACATGATATTACCTGGTGAGAATGTATGAATTCCAAGAAAGTGATCCAACTCTTGCCGCATGACCACTCATTTTTCGGACACGTTTCTTATGTTCTACATCCCAAAGCTGAGAAATTTAATGAAAGCTAAGCAACGGATCACTTATTTTTGCACTCTAAAAACACCCTGGTTAAAAATTTCCTGGTTACAGTAATCTAAAATTAACACTGCATGTTTGGGGTAACTTAATGATCTTGGTTAAATTTCCTGGCTAATTTAACCACAGTCCTTACTCCTGGTCAATTTGATCACTATTGTTACCTATAAATTGAACCAGGATTCCTGGTTATAATTTAACCAGGCTATATGGTTGAATTAACCAAATTATGTTAGGTGGATTATTAACCAGGGCGTTTTTAGAGTGTTATAGAAGCTTAAGCATTTGGTAATAGCTTCGGCAGTTCGGCTTTGCCGCTTCTCTGCGGGATGTACACGGACAGACGAACTCATACTGTACTTTTCAGTTTCGATTCGAGTTCAGGTAAGTTTGTATAAAAAGGTCGTTAAAGATATTTCTGTTAATGCGAAAGTTAACCAATCAAATTCACGTATTTTAGAGTTAACTATTATTTAACTACAAAATATAGACGTTAAAAGTTTTATGCAACTGGCCCATACGCTCATCTCAAAGAATGAGTTTGTATGATATAGATAAATTATACCTGTACTGCACCATCACTATCTCCAATTGCCAAATAATTGCCTTCTTTTATCCACGAGACAGAACCGACATAACATTCAGATGAATCCATTTGACAAAGTTGTTCTATGCTTCCCGTACTTGCATGCCAAAGATAGACGAAGCCACCAAGAGAAACAGCTAAATGATCGTTACAACTCCAGTCCAACAGATTGAGATCTTAATAAAATCAATTAAAACAAACTGCAGGTCAGTAGCAGACACTTCGCGTTATTTTTTTTTTTTTTTGGGGGGAAGATCAAATTAGGTTCACACTAGACTATACGACGACAGTTTGGAAATCGTAGTTCTCGTCCTGTTGACCATACCTTCAACCATATTGTGTAGTGGTTTAATCTATTTTATGTTTGGTTGTAAAGTTAATAAATAAATAAATATAAACAGTGTCCGCTACCGCTGCAGGTACAAGAACTCATAATAAGAAAATACAAACAAGAATTATCCCATTTAAATGTATAAACCTCACCCAAAGTATCGATATAATTTTCTTTATTCAAAATAGTAAAATTTCATGCTGTATTTTGTTATTTGACTTTTAACCCTTGCCAACATGTGTCTACAGACAGATCATGCATTTACTGAAAATATAAATTATAAATTGTAAATTTGCATTGACAAAGTCTTTTTTCAAGAGTGAAATTGATTATACTTATTATTCCTCCGGTCATGCAGAGAAAATATTTGCTGCAGTTAAAATAATTACGCTCCCACAGGCTCACCTGAGGTCCCAGAGTAAATAAACTCTCAAGTTATTAATTAAAATGTATACAAGAAACGGTAGCGCGGGCATACCGAGTCATAATAGACAGATTTAGATCGAGGACGCGGACGTCAAAGACGACGTGAAAATGGCGTGTTGTAGTTGTTGTACCATGTATGGACACGTCATTTTCACGTCGTCAGGCTTTCTGGCATCCTTGTGTAGAAAAGTAGGACAAAAGTAGGACTAGAATTTTTTAGAAAAAGCAGGAATAAAGTAGGAAAATGTGTAGAAAAGTAGGACAAAAGTAGGAGTTTTGGAGATGCAAATAACACAATTGTGTAAATTTTTGGTGCTCAATATTTTTATGTACTCATTCACCTATGCAGCATTTTTTTCTCAAAACTTTTAAATTGCATCGGTATAAAAGCTAAGGCATCTGCTCCGCAGCAACACAATTCAAATGCATGTATTGGGCTACAGGGCCGTAAGAAGCTCTTTTCGATTGTGGGAGGGGGGGGGGGCTGAAAGCGAGGGCCGAAGGCCTGAGGAAATTTTTAAATTTAGAATCTCTGAAATGCCATTTCCTGGACTTTGGGGAAGATTTGACAGAATTCTAATGGTCAAAAAACAGCGTTTTAGTATGTCGAAATTTACAATTTAGTAGTACTAAATGGGCAAAGGCGTATTTAATTAACTATATATTGGATAAGTTGCAGGAAAGTATGGGTAATATCTTTATTCTTTGCAGTTTGTCATGGATTAAATGATAAAGGTCTGCATCTGGATTTTGAAAAAAATTATTATTAGCAAATTATTGGGGGGCTGCAGCCCCCCCGGTTGATATGGCCCTGTATATATGATGCTTGATTAACTGAGGAGGGAGTTGAATATTTGGAATCTCTAGATCGTCGGAAATGGCACTTTCGGAGTCTTCATTAATTTATTATGATTCTAGAGATGCTATGAAATTTTATACTCGGAAAATGCACTTCTCCTCCTGAGATCTTATCATCTGGGACACAAATAGGGAATAAAAATTACGGGTACTATAGATCTAATTACGAGAGCTATAACATAGAT